CGTCTTTCCTATTTTGAGTCATTTGTACGAGACTATTTATAGCCCATATATTTCTCTTTGAAATTTAATGAATGATTGAATGATAAAAAAATTTTCTCCCATGTTTGAGTTCTTATGAGAGCTTGAGAGAGATTGGAGCGAGATCCCTTGGATAGGGAATTTTGATCAACCCACCAACCTTGGAGACGGTCGGGTTCGTGGTTTTTCTTTTCATTGAATTTTCTTTCTCTCTTCCTTATTTAGCCGTCGACCTAAGGTTGCACCAAACCCTAGGCCTCCGCCACCTGATTCCCCCCATCTACCCGCCGGCTTCACCCCACCACCTCCCCTTCACCGAAACCCCATAAACACCCACATAGCCGCCGGCCACTCCCACCTCCCCTATCTTCCTCCACAACTCAACTCCTTCTTAATTATTTTTCATAATATCCACTCTTAAGCTGGGAAGAATTAATATTTTAGGAAAGTTACTTAATTAACTCCATTTTGAATTTCAAATTAAAGGGGATTTAATTATTTCTTTCCTAATTCTTAAATGTCAAATTAAGCAACCCCAAATCCCTCCCTGTCCCATTAAGCCGCCGGCCCCTACCTCCTTAATTTCTTTGGATTTATTTCCTAAAGCTCATCCCCCCTTTTGGAATTAACTCAAACATCTCATGCTTTCCCTCATTGGCCGAAATTTCCAAAGCCCCACAACTCCTAATTACTTTTCAAAATGTAAAATTAAATTTTGGAAACAAATCCCTCATCCCCACCTCTCTCTTGCCGTTGCCCATACCCTCTCTCCCTCTTTTTTAATTATTCCCGAATAATTAGAGCATTGTTTGGAAACCTTTTCTCTCCTCCCAAATCAAAACCAAATTAAATCCCTCTCCCTCCTCCCTTGCCCGACCACCCCTCCATCCCCTCCACTTCAAGTTCGAGAGAAACTTCTTTCTCTCTAGCCAGGATTCAAAGGATTGACATTGATCTTTAACTACACACTCTTCTCCTAAAGCCAATGAATGGCCGATGCGGAGCCTGACTACGGCCTTGCCTACGATGAGCAAGGTTTCGTGCACATCCTTCATTCAACTTTCTTCAACGTCAATCCGAATATTGACAACACCGTCAAGGAATACGTGGAGCGCATTCTTGATACTCTTATCAAGGCCATAAAGGAGCAACTTGGTACCGTTCAGTGGAGAATTACATCCAAACCGTGACCAATGTCTTCCAAGCTTCATACTCTTGTATTTTCCTAAGTCTAACTCTCTTTGTGGTTTGAATTACCTCATGATGGTCTTGTTCACCTATTTCTGCCGAGCTTAGTAAACGTAGGACTTGAGCGTGCCTTCTATGTGACTAACTTATTGTTATATTAGGAATTTTGTTGAAGCTACTTACTACGCATGTTATTGAGCTTTTAATTTGTTTTGATATTCCAAGTGTTTGACAAGTGACTTAGCCTAAGCGCAGGCACCCTTCTCTCATTTTCTTTTGTCGTTTTGACTGCTAATAGTTTTAAATCTTAATTGTTTTATTCAATAAATCGTGCAACTTCTTATCACATACATTTAAACATTTTAGTCTTGCATCAACCACGCTCCAAGAAAGCCGCAAAAGAAAGCCACACCAAGGTCAGACAAGTGTAACTGATACCTACTAACTATGAGGAAGGGCTAAACTAAAGTTGGAAATGGTGCCAAGCCTTAGCAGATACACTTGTCTCCTGTGGGATAACATCCATATGCCTGACATCTGCCACCCTATTTGGCTGATACCCTTCTAATATCATGAAGCTACCTGAGCGGTGACATAATCAGCCTAGGCACATGCTGATAAAGTACTCAGCTATCCTCAAAGTGCACCCTCAATGTAGTGTAGTATATCTCTTCCTCTGATCAAGTCCGTCAACAATATCTATCTCCCTCAGATTAGGCGGTAGAACAACAACATGTGGTTGATGAAGTAGAGAGAAACAGTCTACCACCAAGTGTGGAGCGAAGAAGAAAAGCCGCATATGTCCCGACTCCAAAGTGGAAGAAGCCTGCAACATCTGGATGACAGTGGGATATTCTCTCTCTAGGAAGTATGAAGGGCACTCTAGTCAAGAAAACTCCCCTGAATGTGCAGATGGATCCAACCGTATAGGTAATTCCACGACGAAGTTAGGTCCCATAGCTCAAAGGAACTCACCTCAAAAGAGGTTTGAAGAATCCTATACATCATGGTAAGCACTATTGGAGCCAGAGAAAGACACTCATCCTATGAAAGCTGATTGGATGCTAAAAGAACACCACATCAAACAGATCCTGCTCTTAGTGCAAGAACGAAGGTGCACAACCATGTGGCTAAAAACCCCGTAAGGAATAAATCTTCATCGATGCCTACTAGCTAACTAAAGAGAACAGCTCGACGGTCTCCTCTAACAGTAGATATCCACGATGCTAGCCGCAACCGAAAGGATCATGCAGTGACACAATATAGAAGGACAAATAACTATCCTGACGAAAACTGTGAACCCAGACGTCCATAGGGGCGGTAGCTCGGGCATGTATCGATAAACCCGATGATCTATATGTCTGACGATAGTGTTGAAGAAGGGCAGGGTAAACGTCTGGCAAGACTAACCTTCCCCTCTGATGCCCCTCTACTGATGGTCTCCTACTGAAAAGCTCACCAGGAGGAATACACTCCTCAAAGTAGTGAACAAACACAGGCAATCTAGACACTACCTATAACTCCCATAATGTCACTGTCACTCTTTTGTATGTATGCCAAAAGAGTATGGTTTATAGGGGTAAATTTGTATATGCAGTTCAATATTACAATTCATAAAATCATTCATATATAATATTCAAAGCAATATTTCGAAGTTGTTATCCTATTATAGCATTTTTTTATCGGTATCAATATAATTGCTGAAATAAGTAAAATATCATAACCTAAAATATCTTATTAAAAATTTAATTATACATGCTAATATGATCAGAATATTCTATCCTACAATATACTAAAAGTTATATGATGAATTTTTTTTTTCAATTTTCATGAATCTGAGTTTGTATAAAATCTGATAAAATAAAATACTAAAATTCACATTGAGCGATAAAACTAAAATTTGAAGTAGGATAATGATAGCTTACCTCGAGTCAGACAATTTTTCCAACTAACCTGATAGACGAAATGAGATCTGAGACCTTGTTTCTAAAATTTCTCTCTCCTCTTCTTCTGTCTTCCTTTATCTCCTTAAATGATCTCATGGCTAAAAGCTTAGAAAAGCGGTAAAATGGAATCCTCGAAATGCATTTTGGGTTTATATATACAAATAATAATATTAGGGTATATTTGTAATTATTTAATTTGTTGAATTTTAATTACAAATTTCATATAAATCCCTTTATAAAATGAAATTTGGAGTTTCAAAATCATGATAAAATAATCAACATATACTACAACATTTTTAGAACACTCTAGGGACAATAATTTGCAAAATGGACATCAAATGATTCCAAAAAAACTATTTTTATAAAGATATCCTAATTCCTTAAGAAAGACAAATCCAATAAGAAATATCTTGTTTTCACTTTTCATACCTAGGATGGTTATAAAAATAGGCAAAAAAATATTTAAAATAGTGTTAATTGCTCTACAATATGTTGGAGATGATTTATAAATCGGATATCAAATGAATTCAGATAATTTAATTTGATGTACTAAGGCCAATTTTCAAAATATCAAAATTTTCTCCAAATCAAACCACGAAATTTTGGCGACTAAACTAGACATGAACATAGCTCTAAAAATATCTATAAATTCAGTAGATGCTAAATAAACATACAAGTCTTGCCAGATACAAATCAGATTATTACAAGTAGTCCAATTACTATATAACCGGTCATTATAAATCAAACTTTAAATATAAGATATGGACATCATGTTAACTAGATTTAATTAGCTTATTAATGCCCATGGTTTTTGGGCCATTAAATTACTCTAACCATATATACATTGGCTTATTAAATCATCAAGCGTACTAACATTATTTACTCTTAATCAACCTTGTAGTTATATTCACTCATCGAATTTGATTAAATCATTAATTCCTTAATCTTCGAATAATATATATCTACCATTAATCATGTTTATTGATGTTTGGGTCATTAAACTAGATTTTTGGAATCGTTTTGTGTGCTTTGTTGCTTGTGCAGTCTAATGAAAGTTTTCCATTCTCTCAGATATTATATGTCAGGCTCATCCAACTGGATTTCATATTTAATTTTGCTAGATATTTGGTCAAGAATTCCAAGCACAACTTTATCCTTAGGAAGGCAAAGAAGACCAAAACAAACAGTTCTAACTTCATATCTCCATAATATTTTTAAGCTGCAGGATAAGCGTAGTACTTATTTTTTTTCTTCTGCATTGCATGCGAAGCTCATATTTTCAGCTAATTGCATAAATTTTCTCTTGTTGAAGCTTTGAATAGGATCTGTACTATGTTTACTAATACAATGGATTTCCAATTTTTCTTAAGTCTAGTTGGCTGTTTGAAATTAAAAACCATGTTTTAAAATATAATAAGTTTAATAGATTATGTCATTTGGTTGGATATATTAGTTTAAATCCAATATTGATTTTATGCTTTACAAACATCTCCAAAATGCCTCAAATGTGATGATTTCTTTTTCACTCACTAAATGAGTGAAAAGAAATCAACTCTTTTTAAACATGTATTATATCATCATGCAGCCAAATGAGCACTAAGTTATGATTTTAGGATGACCCAACGTACATTTTCAACATCATTTTTATTTCATAAAAAGATGTAATTTTAGCCCAGTGCCTTCTCATATACTGCACTTCTTTGTAATATGACATGCTACGGAATAAAATGTGAAAAATATTTTGACTTTGCTGGTATGTGTAGCGTAGCTTTTTTTCTAATATTGCTGTTTCTCAACATCAAAACACAGGCTTAAAGATGGTACTGATTGTGTGTATTCTTCATATAGAAATTGAGAAGCTCTGGATACAACAGAGGTCTTTCAAGGCACATGGGGGAATGTGGTGGCCAACATTACCACAATATTAGTGAAGAAGAATCTACAAGATCAAAAAATGTTCAAAAAGTTTCTATTGTTCCTCTTGTTTTCTTAATCTTCTATGAGGTCTCTGGCGGGCCTTTTGGAATAGAAGACAGCGTTCAAGCAGCAGGTCCTCTTCTTGCCATTGCTGGTTTCCTAATATTTCCCATAATATGGAGCATTCCAGAAGCACTGATTACTGCAGAATTAGGGACAATGTTCCCCGAGAATGGTGGTTATGTTGTCTGGGTCTCTTCAGCGTTGGGACCTTTCTGGGGCTTCCAACAAGGTTGGATGAAATGGCTAAGTGGTGTGATAGATAATGCTCTTTATCCAGTTCTATTTTTAGACTATCTGAAGTCTGGTATTCCAGCCTTAGGAGGGGGACTTCCAAGGACTGTGGCAGTGTTGATTTTAACTGTTGGCTTGACTTACACGAACTACAGAGGGCTTACTATAGTTGGATGGGTAGCCGTATTTCTTGGGGTTTTCTCGATCCTTCCTTTCATAGTTATGGGCCTTGTGGCTATTCCAAGGTTGGATGTTTCACAGTGGTTAGTGGCTGATTTTAGCAATGTTGACTGGAATCTATACTTGAACACCCTTTTCTGGAATTTGAATTATTGGGACTCTATCAGTACCTTGGCAGGAGAAGTCCACAACCCAAAGAAAACTCTTCCGAAGGCATTACTATATGCTTTAATATTAGTTGTTGTTGGGTATCTTTTTCCTCTTTTCACTGGTACTGGTGCTATCCCACTTGATAGGGAGCTATGGGTTGATGGTTACTTCTCTGACATTGCCAAAATACTAGGTGGCATTTGGCTGAGATGGTGGCTGCAAGGAGCTTCAGCGCTATCGAATATGGGGATGTTTATTGCTGAAATGAGCAGCGACTCTTATCAACTTCTAGGCATGGCTGAGAGAGGGATGCTTCCAGAGTTCTTTGGCAAGAGATCTCAGTATGGAACACCACTTATAGGAATCCTTTTCTCTGCATCTGGTGTTTTGTTGCTCTCATGGATGAGCTTTCAAGAAATTGTTGCTGCTGAGAATTTTCTGTACTGTTTTGGAATGATTTTAGAGTTTATAGCATTTATAAGGCTTAGAATGAAGTATCCAACAGCACCTCGGCCTTACCGGATTCCTTTGGATACTCTTGGTTGCATTTTGATGCTCATCCCTCCTACTATTCTGATAATTGTGGTTCTGGCTTTTGCTTCATTCAAAATCATGGTTGTCAGCCTTTTTGCCATGCTTATTGGGTTCATATTGCATCCTTTCCTGATCTATATTGAAAGGAATCAATGGTTGAGGTTCTCAATGATCTCTGATCCCTCTGATTTTCAAGGTGCTGAGCATGAGGATGCCCACTCTTTGATCAGTTAAATCTATTCAGAGGTATGAAATTTCATGCTTATCTTAAGTGTGACCTAAACTAGGTGAATTACTGCATTATTGTTATGATTCTGCAAATTCGATTGTCAACATCATATGAAGAACGTAATTGTGAATACTGTGGTATTCGAAGCACTTTTCTTGTAAGTTAGGCAACTATTTTAATTCTTCAATGCAAGCATCTTTTTCTATAATTCTATAATTTATTAAAGATATTCAAATATATTTCATGTTTGTGAAGTGCTCTTATTTGGCTCATTATTAATTGAACTAAAAAAAAAATTTATTTGACTCAAATTGCTTAACGTGTTGGACTAGATAACACTTAGGTTTTGTTTGGGAGGGCTTTTTTGCTGCTTCTTAAAGCAGTTTCGAGTACAAAAATTTTAATTTTTATACTAAAAAATTGTTTTAAGAAGCAGTAAAAAAGCCGTCCCAAACGAAGCCTTAGTTCACTCAAAATTGAATTGAAGAAAATTATCATCACAAGATTATTGCATTCTTGTTTTTGTTAGTGCATTGCAAAAACCTAAGTTGTCTTTTGACAGTTTTGCTTTCTTTGTGGCTTGATGCTTTCAATTGTCCCAAAGATATCGATTGCTCAATGTTTTTAAAGTAGGATTTAAGGTAAATCCTGTCAAACGCTAAAAATAAGCCCTCTGAATCCTATGGAAATATAAATCCCATTTTGGCCCTGTTTTGCCGTAAATTCCAAATTTACCAAATCCCATAGTTCGGCGGATTTAATGTGAAGCTTTCCCACGAGGGATTTCCTTGAATCTTACGATCCCGTGCAAAACCATTTCTCCTACATGTCTCTCCTTCTCTTGCGATCTAATCTATGATCAATTTCATTAGGAGAATCCTGGCAGGATGGAAGAAGAGAAAATGGTTTTGTATTAATAAAATTGTGTCTAATTAGTGTTTAATATAATATAAATACACTTATGGAATATATTAATTAGTTAAACATTAAATAACTTGAATTAATTAATGTTAAATTTAATTAATTTTTCATAGGTTAGTTACTAACGCATCAATCCACTTACAGTCCATGTGTAAATGATGTTGATTAACTCGAGTGCTTAACTTGCGAAAAATAAAAAATTTTGAAAAAAAATGATCAAAATAATCCCTCGACTCTTTGAGGAAGATCAAAATAGTCTCAAATTATATTAAATGATAATTTTGATCTCTCAACTCTTTAAAGATGAACAAATTAGTCCTGGAATGGGATTATTTTGATTCTTTTTTTAAAGACTTGAGAGATCAAAATGATCTTTTAATATAGATACCAAAAACTACTATTCTGGGCTTAATAACTCGATGGAAAACATCTCAATTTGTCCATGGAGAACTTAATTGCTCATATGGGATTCCATGACTTGCAAGTTTATAAAATTGGAACTCCATTCAGCCCCATTCCACTTTTATAGCCAACTTCACATAGTAATATAGTATCATTTGATTTGCTGACATTGTTGAATATATCAGAAAAACTGAAACCAACTATGATATCTTGTTTAGCTTCTGTTTTTTCTGACATGAGCAGAAGCTATTAGAATGCATCAATTTTTTTCTATGTTGGATGAAATGTCAATAAAAAGGGAAATTGTTTAACCTTACTGGTTCATATGATGCATACCTATAAGATCTTTTGTTCAAAACATAGAGCTTGGGTAAGTGACCGGTCACTTATATTCAGTTGACTGAAATATACATCAAAATTACAATTATTAAATCTCCTAAGTTGAAGGAATTTATGTGAAAAAAATGTGTCACAATATCCAGGTCAAAGTTGAAGGAATTTATGTGAAAAAAATGTGCCTGCTCTTCCAGATCCCGAAGCCGCAAGACCCTCAAGCTCGATTTTCTCTTCATTGTCCCGATTCCCTCACATCCTAAGCAGTTCGGCGGCCCTTCCTTCCGGCTCCCGCCGACTCCGACCTCAGCTTCCCTGCCTGCTCCAGCCACTGTGTTGATCGCACACAGGAGCTCACAATCCGCACTCCCGACTCCACCAGTCCCGATCTTCCTCCTGTGCAGCCAAACCCCGCCGATCCCAGTCGCAGCAAACTCCGACTCCATAGCTGGCGTTAACCCTAGTTTTTCATCCTCCTTCGATTCCGTCGAACCAGCCATGCATGTCAATCCCCATCTCCCTCCTTGCCCGATCCCTGCTCACGTTCATATCGATCGGCCTCACAACTTGTCGAACCGTGTGCCAATCGAGTCGGACTCCTCGTTTCGATTCCCTCCTCACTACTAACTATACAGCTTGCTCCACGTCAATCGCACACAGGAGCTCCCGATCCTTGCCTCCTCAAGCCAAAATCCTCTTCTTCCTGCCGCTAGCCCCGCTCTGTTCGATCTAACCACGTTGAGCACCCTCCAACCTCCAATAGCTGAACCAAGCTTCACTGACAAAGCCACACACTCAATTGCTGCTGCTACTATCTCTATTCTCCCACTCAGGACAACACCCATGGTCCCATACCCATATAAAACAACATTTTTTTATTTTTGCTATTAATCATTATTATTAAGTAATATTATTAGTTGTTACTATTACTATTATTATTTAAAAAAAAGAAAATACACAAAAAGAAAGAGAAAAGAGATTAAAAAATAAAAATAAAAAAAAGGAGAGAAAAAAAAGAAAAATTTGTTGTTTACATTCATCATCGTTGTTGTTGTTGCTCACTCTAGCTAAGGTATAATGCCTCCAAACCCTAAAAACTCCAAATTCTGTTTTTGGTGCTCGCGGCGCGTCGGGGAAACACCTATATATATGCTCTTGAAGTCTGATGCAGCGCTTATGGTGAGACGGGTAGACCATGTACACGCTCTTGTAACATAGCGAGGACAATCTTAAGTATCCGTGTACGTGCTTCAGTGACTGAGGGGAAAAGCCGCGGAACCATAAGATCTTGATCGGATTTATCATCATTCCCCCCACCATCTGCTTTAAATATAGGGTGGTGAATTTCTAATTTTAAATGTTAAATTTTAAAACATCAAATCATGTTGCAATTATATGTCGGATACTACGTATATGTTTGAGGGCTAGCCTTAATCGAAAGTTCTCTCTCTCACTATCGGGAGGGGTAATTAACTTATAGGGGCTTGTGCGTATAGGAAATCTGAACTCATATCATAAAGTCCTCGCAAGATGAGGAGGAAATCTTTGGGTAATGTCTTATTCAAAATCCAATCCGCTTTCTCAAAATTTGCCTCGGAACTTAAATGTTAAAACTCTCCTCGATGACCCGAAAAAGAAAAGGAGCCGCGAAGAGGTTGGGCGCAAATTTTCGAAGCCCGCAGTAATATAATAGTTGATTGATTGATGATATATGTCAAAATAAATTTAATTATTTCAAAACTAACTCAAATTTTCTCTAAATCTATGCAAAGGTGCACCTAAGATTTTTTTTTTTGCTACAACTAGATTATGCATCCGGTAGTCTTGTGTTGGGAAAGAAGAGCAAATAACTTTCAATTGACGAAGTATCTATTTTAGAAGTAAATATGAGGGATTTATAAATTATTTATTTAAAAAAAAAACTTCAATTTTTGTATTGTGTAACTTTACTTAAATCTGCAATTCTGCATCAACAACTGCATTTAATTATTGGATAAAAGATCCACACATATTGTTCTCCAAAACCATAATTCTTCAACCCATTGAATCTCTTGGGTTTTGTTTGGGACAGCTTTCTTGTTGTTTTTTAAAAAGCAATAAGAAAGTCATCCCAAATGAAGCCTAAGGCTTCGTTTGGGACGGCTTTTTTATTACTTTCTAAGACGGAGTTTTAGTACAAAAATAAAAAATTTTATACTAGAAAGCAGTAAAAAAGTCGTCCCAAACGAAGCCTAAGACTTCATTTGGGATGACTTTCTTACTGCTTTTTAAAGCAGCTTTTTAGTACAAATTTTTTAACTTTTTAACTAGAACGCCGTTTTAAAAAGCAGGAAGAAAGTCGTCCCAAATAAAACCTTAGTCTCTAGTGCATTAGTCATCATATTCCTCTTAACCTCCAGCAGTTGCTGGTAAAAGAGGAGCGCACATGTAATTGTGGAAGAGCAAACTTCAAAAACAAATATGATGAATTATAAAATAACTAAAAAAATCAAAATTAATGTGATTCAATTTCATCGAAATTTATCACAGCAGTCTTACTGAAATTTTCAAAGTCCAATAATAATCTTGCTTTCTTCAGTACTGTCTTTAGCTCTCTTCTCTACTCAATAAAGCTTAAAAAGACAATAAATATACTGTTACCGATCAAAGAAAATGAAAAGGGCATTATATCTTATCCTTTACTGTCTTTAATTGATTCAGCCATATTATTTGATGTGAATCTCTTATGCAGCTTCAGCCGGAGCTCGGAAGCTTTCCCTTCTTCATCTTCTCTGACAATTTTCAAAACAAGACAGCAACACTGGAGCTCCAGACTTTCTTAATGGCCTTTGGTGCTTCCTTAAATGCACCCAAATGCTTTATATCAAGAGCTAAAACCTCCTTAATAAGACCCGGGTTCGAGCACAATCTCACAACGGTGGAACCCGATATTTTGGGGATTAGATGAGACTTGATGTAATTATCGAGAGCTCAAATAAAAATAAGATAAGCCCATAAAACATGTATTTACTCAAAGTTATGCTGTGATGAATTTTGGCTTTATTTGGGGTGATTTTCTTACTGTTTTGTTTTTTAGAGCACAATCATAATTTCTATTTGATCATTATTTTTTTTACTGTTTTCAAAAAAAAAATGCTAAGAAACTATTTTCTATAACAATTAAAAAAGAAAAATTATTTTTTTTTTCATAACAATTATATAATCACCTTTATTAAAAGTTATAGTTGTCGGAAACAGACACTTAATTGAATTAAGTCAATTGTAATCAAGCCATACAATCAAACCCTAACTCAGTGCTTTCTTGTCATTCTATGTGAGGTTATATATATATATATATAAGAAGCTGGAAATAGTGGTGAACCATATTTTGGAAATATATTTGAGGTGTTTTGATTCTGAAACACCATGGATGTGGACAAAATGGTTACCATGGGCTGATAAACACCAACCCAAGGAAATCCAGTGATTTCCTGTAGAGTAGTCACTCTAGGGGCCCGTCAATCCCGGCTAGCTAAAAACCAATGGGATTATACCGACATATACATAATCACAAAGTGCAAGTGCAGTTACAAATATTCAATAAGTTCTATGTAACTCAACATGATAATTACAATTTATATAATCAACATGATTTATAATAGAAGTATCATGTACTGCAATAAACAAAATTAATGTGTTTTGCCAAGTGCCAACATAATATTTATTGCATTCAAACAAGAGCATGCATGAAAATACAAAACTGACAATCTAAACAGTTATGAGAAACCTAATACAAGCGGCAGAGATTACTCCTCTAACAAAGAATGATATGACTACATGAAAATAGGTTATAGTACTTACCATGGTTGCCACAAATTCTAACCTTGAAAGCGGCTCCCTCGATTCCACCAAGCGACAATCCTACAAGTAGCAAAACCAAAATATCATTAAGCATGTTTGATGAGGCATAAAGAGGAATATCCTAATCAACCTTAATCACACCAAGAACACCAAAATTAATTTTAAAATGATACAATCTAAAAAAATGCAAATAACCTAGGGTTTGGTCAAATCGAATACCAAACCTAAAATGAGGCTTCCTCCAAAAATGAATTAAAATCCATCATAACGATGAATCAAGGCAACAACAAATCAAATATAATAAAAATACTACAAAAGTTGTTATCTACTTCTATATCATGAGAATAAAGAGGAAGAAAGAAGGAGAAGGGAAAAGGGAAGAGTTTGGACTAAAAAACTTACTCGAGGATGTCATTGCGAGCAATGAGCGAAGAGGGAAGGGAAGAGAATATTTCAACGGCTTCTACAAGGGAGAATGAGGAGTGGAAGGTTGCCCTAGGTCCTATTTCACCTTAAATGAAGAGAGCAACAACCAACAACGAGAAAAATCACAAGAGGAGATAGAAGAATCACGTAATTTGCGCTATTGGAAAGCGAGAGAACCGCAGCTTGCCCGTGTGCAGAAGAGGTGAAGGAGTCAAGCGGCTAGCTTGCGTGTGCGGGAGAAATCCCGGACCAGTCCGGTCCGATTCGAGATATGATAAGCATACCCTTATCATAGGAGTTATATGTCTTTAACTTCTGAACTTATATGTAATGATCCCAACAATTAGATTTGAAATCCAATGATTGGATCCCAACCACACCTTATAATCTTCTCAAGGTACCCAATAGTCCAACTAGCAAAATAAGGGCTAAAAATTAAATATATAGTGGCTGATCCATCAATATTATTACAATTTTTGCATGGAATATACATTGGATAAAACCCCGCTTGTAATCAAACTTGGTTCAACTATTTATCAAACTTCAAACCCATTTTAAGCCATAATTAAAGCTTTGTTTGCGACAATTTTCTTATTTTATTAAGCAGTTTCTTAGTAACAAATTTGTTGAATCTGAAATTTTTGTACTAAAAAACTACTTCATAAAGCATTAAAAAAGCAATCTCAGCTTCGTTTGGGATGTCTTTTTTATTTCTTTTTAAAGCTATTTTTTTGTATAAAAATCTCTTGAAAGCAGAGAAAAAAATAATGGTCCCATTAGATTTGAAATCCAATGATTGGATCCCAACCACACCTTATAATCTTCTCAAGGTACCCAATAGTCCAACTAGCAAGATAATCAACTCATTGACTATCTTAAAATTTGCTATCTCAACTAAGGGTGTGGCGATGTCAAATCAACTTATGAGCTAGCACGAACTCGACGAGAAGCGCTCGAAGAACATATTAACTTGTGAGATGGCTCATTTAAAATTTATTTAAATATATTATAATTTAATAGTTTAAGCATAAAATTATTAAAAATATATCTCACTTCTTATATCAAATAATTTTTCATTATATATCTTTTAATTTCTCATTTTTTAACATTTTATCACAATAGCCACTTAAATTATAATCATTGTCAACCTTTCATAATAATGAGTTGGCTCAAGAGCAACAAATCCGGTTCAAATCGAAAAAGAGATCCTCCTCCCGGTTCAATTCGGTCGAACGGATGGATTCAGACCCGGTTTTGTTTCAACCTCCAATAGAAAATGAAGATAGAAAGCGACTTCGCAAGACCGGCCGCTTCCACGGCAAATTTAAAACGGACTGGTCATTACGTGTAGCGGCACCTCACAATAAAATTTTTTAAATAATGGAAATGGTCGCAAATCTTTTTCATGGCTGTCGTCGCGCAGGTCAAAGCAAACCCTTTAATCTTTTATTTATTTATTTTTTCCCTAAATTTGAGTTATCAACACTAACAAATCTTTTTTTTTTCTCCTTCAAAATTCATAAATTAAACCTATTTAATTTGAGCAAGGTTTCATAGATTATTATTTTTCCTAGAGGAGACAATTCGGCATCTTCGAATCTGATGGAGGCAGTGCTAACTGCCAAAGGATCTCAACTGCTAAATTATATTTAATGTGAAGTTAATCTATCTGATAAACTATTTTTTGACGTTCACATCGTTGACGTATGGATCATTTTATTAGAATTGATTAGATAAATGTATCAAGGGCTAGCAGGGGCTTGCTCGTGTCGCCTTCTGTTTGATTCTTATGTTTGTGGTTTTCTTGATTTGTTTCTTTTATCTCGGAATCCAGGGAACTTTCCGGTGTCTTTCATTCGTAATTGTTGATTGACCAGATTTTTGTTTGTGAGGAGAGCTCTCTTCTTTTGCGGAGACCGTTTTGGGTTATCTCAGAATTTGGAGAAGGCATTAGGTGCTAGGGTTTTTCAGGAAATTTTGAGTTTAGTGAGAGGAAGGTGAAGTTCTGTTGGAGAGCGAAACGAAGTAAAGTTGTTCAAAGGTTTTTTTTTTAGAAGGTTTGTTAGTGATGATTGCAACCAAGTTCATCCTGTAGAGATCAGAAGGAACTGCTTATGGAGATGGAAGGCAGGGGATTTTCTGATTTGCTTAGAAATACTAGTGAAGAGATCTTCCTTAAGACTATGATGGAGAATCCAATTGGGATTACCGCACCAAGCATGGAGATGCTTGGGTTCAAGAACATCACACAGTCTTTTAGGGGAGACAGTGAAGAGCTGTTTAATAACTGGCTGACGACTGGAGAGGCAATAAAATTTTGCTTTTTTTTTACCTTTTTCCTTTACTATTTACATTGGTTGTTTAGAAGAACCTAGTATTCTTTTTCTACTTTTGTGTCTATGGAGTGCCAGCTTTCTGAATTTCTTATCGGAGTTTCTGAATTCCATCTACATAAATTACAATCATGTCATAGTTGATCTGCTCAAAGGCTTTGAAGACCTTGAATTCGGCAGGGCCAGTGTAATGAATGTTTACTTGGTTAGCTATGCTTTTCTACTGTTCAGTGTACTGTTCTAGGCATGATTTAGGTAAGATTCAGCTTAAAACCTACTGATAGAATTTTAGGGACTTCAAATCAATTTGTTTATAAATTCCATTTTATCTATGTTGTAAATTAAGTTTAGAATTTTTAAGTCCCACCGCTCATGGAATTCAACAAATTTGAGGATTTCTCTTTCACAAGTTTTAAATCTAAATCTGAGACAAATAGCCAATCATCTTATTAATGTATCAAGATTTAACAGTTGTTATATCAAATAGTTTTCAGGTTTTAACCCTTTTTGGCAAAACAGCCGCTTAAACTTCAAATGTGTTTTTCATTAATTATGTAATGCTAGCTGGTTCTTCCAAACACTAGTGAGCCCTGGTTTTTCCCACTCAAGTTGTGCTTTACTTTATCCCTGTACCAATGATTGTTTATTCTGGTGCATAGCAATCTTTCTGCACTTTGCACTTTACTGTTTGGTCACAAATCTATCATCGGTGTTTTGTAGAAAATCAGTCACGATTTTGTCCAATTTTTTTAAAAATAAACTTAGATATTGCTTTTAATACGGTGATAACTATTACTTGATAGGTGTTCATTTCATTTTACATTGCTAATACTGTTCTCATACTTTCAAGATCCCAACTAATCAGGGTTAGTATTATGAATTATCATTTTCCATTCATTCCTATTGATTGATGTCTAGTGGTTAAAATTGATTTCTGTTGTTGTGTTGATGTATTTCAATATTGTTAACTATACCATTTACCTTATGATTGTGTTATGCTAATCCTTCTGATAAAGTTTCGTTAAAATTGTAATTTTACTTATAGTCTGACTCTTTGTAGTCCATTGACTTATTATTTTTTGTTTTTTGTTTTGGCATTTAACATAGACTCCTGCCTATGGTTCGTCAGTTGCAGCTCATCGAACCCGACAACCATCTCGAAGGTGGGTAGGTAGAATTTCACATATTAAGATCTCTATTCCCAGTGTGATTATTTTTCGAATTTATAGCCTTAGTGGTGATCGCTCTGAGAAATAGTTCCAGAAAATTATTTTTCTGTCTCACAACAAAAAGAGTACCATATTGGCAAGCTATGGAAGAGCGTTTTTAGCCCATGGATATAGCAATTTTTTAACAGCCGAGTGATACATAGTCAATAGTTTCTTGACATGTAGAGAACAATGAGGGAAAATTGATATTTAATAAAGGTCATAGAGGCAAACTATTTCATAAAACATACAATGTCCAGTATCATAATATTAAAGTTGGAGTAAAAGGTGTAAACGCTACTTTATGTTGTTCAGTCAGTTAGGGACTGACTTCTTTAGTATTTCTTCTGTTTGTTTAGACCTCTGGTCCTAGTACCCAGAAGTAAGTGTCATTGGTTTCGTGTATTTCTTTTTCTAGTGCAAGTTTTTTCCCTTGGATATTAGGCGCAACATTCTAAACATGTTTCTGAAATTTATATGAATTTTCTGTAGACGGCCTCTGACTTATATGATTCGCAGGCTGTCAACAGATCTTGCTCCAAACCAGCAAAATGGAGTATCATCTCAAAAGAAAAGCATTGATGATAATCCAACTGCTCTCAATTTAAGTGCCATCAATGAACATTCAAATGATCCTAGTCAATGTTCTCTAAGGTGATTATTGTGATGTATAAAGCTGAAAACACATCTTTCCTTCTGCAGTTGATGACATAATTATAGCACCGCTACTTTGTTGCCCTAACTTATAATTGAAAGGCATTATTGATTTCCTTCTTGAATAAATATTAATATTTCTTGAAGTAGGATAGATAGTTTTTTTAATTTTTCATATGAAAACATTACCTGGAATATGATGACCTGGACTCCCTCTTTTGCCTTTTTTTTTCCTTTTTGTCGTTATGAAAATATTTTTTTTGGTAAATGTACTTCAATGTCTTCTACTTTATTGACAATGAAATTATATTATGCATTTAATGTATAAAAAATACTGTTACTTGAGTAGAAGTTTTTTTTTTCTTTTTTGCTTATTCTTGAAAATCCAGTCTCCTGCCAATTTTGATCATGAGGTTCAAATTGGAAACTTGATCTTTAAGAATATTTCTTACTGATTTTCTTACAAAAAATTACAAACTTTCAATTTTTTGTGCTAGAAATCAGACCGGTAGAATGAGGATTATCTTTTGTCTACTTGGTATCCTTCTTTCTCACTTGCAAAAGCAGCGAGTAAAGAAGTGAAGAGGACAAAAGATTTTTTATGCTGAAAATCTCTTAAAAAGGAAAAAGAAATCATGATCCTACCCAATCATAAAAATCCATTTCTTTTTTTGTAGAGAATAGTATAATGGTGGATCATCTTGGAGCAATTGGAGGGATTCAAGTTCAAGATGCCTCTTAGGCAGTAAAAATAGATGACGTCAAGGTAGAGAAGGGGATTGGAGAATTTTTATGGCCTTAGCATCCTTCTTTCTCACACACACAAGCATCTGAGTAAATTAGAGAAGGGGACACAAATTTATTATGCTAAAAACCCTTTAAATAGAAAAGAATCACGGGGCTTGGCTCAATTGTAAGAATCCATTATTTTGTATAAAATAGTAGAAATGAGGCTCATCTCCTAGGATTTTGGACAACATAAGTACAAAAATTCCTCTTGGGCTATCAAAAAAGTGATGTCGAGGGAATCAAGAATTACCTTCCCATCTCTTTTCCATGTGTTGATTGTAAATGCTGCAAAAACATGTGACATCGTGGCTGATAATATTTCCATTATTCCATATATCATGAATAACAGTGCATCTTAGTGGCATCAACATGAATGACAATGTATTTTTTGTTGTGGTGTTAAATGTTAATAGGGTTTGAACTAGAGGGTAACATGTTTGAGTTTATGATGATAGTTTTGAACTTTATTTGAAATTCTCCCAATTGAAATCCTCATGATCACAAAAGCTAATAATTTAACAATCAAAGATATCTAAATACTCAAAATATTAGACTAATAATTGAGTGTAAAACTGTCAAACATAATCAAAATAATATGGGGAATTTATATACACACCACAGAATTTTTATGTATTTATATTTCTAACACCTAAATTATGATATTTACTTATATAACACTTTAGTTTCTTAATTACCTCAAAACATATGCATGAAACTATATATTTTCCTTTTAAAAAGTTAATGTTAATAGTTTTTTTTATGTGATTTAAATATTTGGGTGTTATATAAATAAATTTTAAAATTTAGATGCTAAATATGTAAATGCATAAGAATTGTGTTGTATGTAAATTTTCCGATGATAGACTCAAAGATATTATAATACATCCTTATAATCAATTAATTTAGCCTGAACTATGGTGTGAAATAAATGATAAAATAATGAGTGAGCATTTAACCATTGACTTCTAAGTTTTAGATCCACTCAAATACATAATCTAAAATAATTATTAAATTAAACATCAAAGCCACACCGAACACAATTGTCTGTAATAAATAATGGGTCTCTAAAGATGTGAGTATGATGTGTAGCATAGTCACTTTTGAGCTTGATTAAATAAATTTACTCTACTCGTAAACATAAGAGCATGGGATTCAAAATTCACCGAACTAAAAATTTTGACACAATTAGTTGAGTAAATATGCAATAGGATAAGTCAACTATAGAGTAATGAGACAATAATTTTTATGTTGTTTGTCATCCAATTAACCTACCTTCACACTTAATCCCCACTCAGATTAGGATTTCACTAAAATGTCCTATGACTATGCTTAAACTCCTTCACTCATTGAGTAGGTGAAGAAATTTTAATAACCTGTGCATTTTTCATAACATGTGAATAACATATAGAGCTTGGCAATTCAAAAATCAAATACAATAAAAGTCAAGCCAAAGTGCTTGAACGCTTTCTATTTCACCCAAAGACTTGCCCAAAATTATGCACAATCAATTTCTATGTTGTAGAATTGAAGGTACACATAAAAATAACTTGAAAATTTTCTCGACATTGAAAGAGAGAGACAACCAAGAAAGATCTTTAAGACTTGATGAGCACTTGATCTCCTTCAATTTTCCTCAAAATGATATAGCCAATTAAGCACTAAAAATTATATTTCCATTAGCCATTTAAAGTGGAGATGGAGAGGTATATATAAAAGAAAAGAGAGGCTAAAATAGTTCCAACTACTATTTTCAAAAACCAAAAAGGCCAAACAATTCGTTATTTCAAAATGGTAAGAGTTTTGGTTGATCAAAATATATTTGTCCATAAACGATTTTTAATGTTTTACAGAGATGGGTCGTCTAGAGATTCTATAGCAGCTAGTTGAAACCTATATGCAAATCTCCAACATCTATGTTGTCATATGCTTGACTTCAATTATATATACGATAAAATGATTATAAGTTGGTCTACTAATAAATAATATGGCTAGGTTTTGCAAAGTATTTCTTAAGTTATATCTAAATATAACTATTAAAAAAATGCGTGTTTACTCATAATAAAATGTTACAATGCTTTAATTGTCACTGTTAGATCTTTTGGTAAATCTTGTTCAAATGATTTACAATGAATTCTAATAATACTCACGCATTGGGCTATACCATAATGATTATTCACTCAAATTCTCATAAATTGCACTTGAGCTCTCATCCTCTAAGCGACCAAACTTCAAGCTAACTTAGTGGAAACATTAATCTTTATGATTGCTACAAAATAATTAATTTGAAATAAAATACTTAAAACACCCTCAGATGATGCTATAAAAGATTTGCAATCATCAAATTATTAATTACTTACATGTGTCGCAGAACCTTTTGGTTCAACAAAGTCTTCATATATATTAGCCAACAACATGATCTTTATTGTTGTATGCAGTTGGTTTGACATCAATATTGTGACAAGTTTGATGATCATAGAAAAGTGATGTTTGTTATCCAGTCTTCCTGTATTAGTAGGGAAAGCGATTATTGTGATACATCTCCAATGTAAAAATGCAAATCAATCAATAGAAATTTGCAGGAATGCCTAAAACGATGGCTGATTTTGTATTATTTCTGCAATATGAAAGCAACATACAAGTTATCTACTATTAGAGAGGTAGATCGTCTCTCTCACAAGACCTAGACACCGCTAGGAACTCACAACAAACACCAAGAATATAAAACTCAACAATGACATGCCCCTAATCTTTAGAAAACTCTCCCTTAAATAACCGTAGAACATAAAATCATAAAAAGAACATTCCTAAACAATTAAACATAATTTAGGAAATCTTCCTAAATTATTAAATATAATTTAAAAAACCTTCCTAAATAATTAAACATATTTTAGGAAACATCCCAAAGTAATATTCCTTCTCTTATTTAAATTCAAATTGGAAATCTTTCTTAAATAATTCCCTCCTTATTCCTCCTCCTAACATAATGAATCACAGCTTTGCTGGGCCTCACAAGGGGGGCCGAATCCAGCCTCCTACTATTGTATCGCATTGTCGTCGTATGCGCACGGTTTGATATCAGCATAATGGAAGGTGGGATGGTTGTAAACGAGACATGGATGTCGTCTAGCCTTCAGGTGTTAGCAAGCCACGATCACCATCGTAGTACATGATGATTTCAATGCTTTAATTATCGCGGGTGGGAGGATCACATAATAGAGTGAATTTCATTTTTTCTACTGGTGTTTGCAAGTAATTTGGTCACCATCGTCATATGTGACTGGTTGTGCGCCATTATACTAATTGGTTGGATGAACAACATCAACTGATGTTATTGTTATAGCAATTGGGATGCCATTGATGGTTGAAATTCTTTATGACAAGTCATTATTATAGATGATGGGATGGTTTTTGACAATAATTGTCGACCAAAATGAATTTTTTGTTGTATTCCATCATAAAGAAAAGCCTGTTAAATGAGTTGAATATTTTTTTTTTGTCATTTTCCCAAGGGGGATTCTAATCATTATCTAAATTATTTTTTATTATTGATAATTATCAATAATGGATAGCAGAAAACGCCTCAATATGATCAAATTGTGACCAAACTATGTTGCTACTGTGTTGATCTAACTGGTCTGCTTGGATTGGGGCTTATCCCGCATGGCTAGTAGTGTTCCAATGCCTCACATCTCCTCACATCTCCAATGATGTTTTTGATTGGCCATCTTAATACAACACATCGGAGATCCTAATACAATGAATGCATCGTTTGTGATGGATTAAAGCTTTAACATTTGGGTTGGTCAGCAAATAGTCAACAATAATTACTATAGATGATTGGATGGTTTTTTATGTTATTATTATAGATGATGGTATGGTGAGTAAATTTTTTATGCACATTAAGTCTGACGTCATTATTATAGATGTCTGATGGCTAAAAAAAGCCTGCTAAATGAGTTGAATGGGCTTTTTTTGTAATGCTAAACGAGTTGAATGGGCTTTTTTGTAATTTTTGCAAGGGACATTCTAATTATTATCTAGATTATTCTTTGTTGTTGATAGTTATCAACTATGCGCCGACCTCACGTAGCAGGATAACGGCTTGGTGTTGTTGATAGTATTATGATGCCTTGCATCATCAATGATGTTTCGACTTGTGATCTTAATACACCACATCATAATCTAAACGCAACGGATGCATCATTAGTGATGGATTAAAGCTTCAAAATTTGGGTTGGTGAGCAAATTTGTAAGTAAGCTCATCAATCTATTTTTTTATTACCCTAAAATGGCAACAATAAACCACCATATTTCATATGATGTGTTTATCTCTTCAAGAGGAGCATGCCCGTCTTAAATAATTTGTAAAATGGTAGTTTTTAGATGTTGTAGTGGCTATGAGAAGTTCAAATCTTTTTAAATGATTTGCTCGATAACAAGTGTGCACTAATGCTATTAGAGTCTAAGGACCTATGAAAAAGAGGAAAATGGAGACGGCACAATGGCCATTGTTGACGGTTGTAGCAGCATATTAGTGTTCGAATCTCCAACATTTTCGCTTATGGTGTTTACTAGTGGAAGTAATAGATTAGTCCAATTTGAGTGGTTTGGTCAGGCCTAAATGAGGTCAGTTTCCAAAATGACGATTTTGAGCCTATAACCCATTCAGAACATTTTTCCTTCTTAGTGTCAATGAATTTACATGAGCCGAATCTTCTGATGGGGAACTTTGCATTGTTCTGACTTGTTTGGCTTCCTATTTGATAAAGGACAAAATTTAGAGTAGGTTTTTCCTTTTAAGCTACTTCGAGATGCATGTTGAACTTTTAAATTTGTTGTGCATCTGGCAAGGATTTTACAATCTAACACTAATGGGCAACCATGTTCTCTTACACCGAGTAAATGATTTTATTAATGTCCTTTAGCGTTCAGCATTTTCTATATAAATTTACAGTGATCAATGCAATATGTCTCATTTTAGTATTTATTTCATTTCTTTATCAGGAATGCAGCAGAGAAAGGGATGCAATCCAGTAATTTGTACTTAGCCAAGGTTTACACGTCTGCCTGCAAGTCTCATTTATCTTTTGAACAAAAAATAATTCGAAAAGAAATAAGTAACTTCAGTAAATAGAAATGTTTTATAGCCATATTTATTTCACTCTTTCATGCAGGCATGGTTCCAGAGTAACCAGCCAATGACCAGAAGTAGATCATCGGAACTAAGGTAAAAGTCTTAGAAGTGATTGGTACGATTTTATTTTTTATCTTTTAGAAAAAATAGAGATAACCATGCCCAATTTCATTCCACAAAATGAAAGGTTACAAGAGAGAAGAATAGTTTTGTAAGAAAAAAAAGTTTTGTAAGAAAAAAATAGAGAAAAGCTTACAAAACATAGCAAACACAAAAAAAAAAAAAAAACCCTAACAAAAGGAGAAAGAGGAAGAAAAAATCAGGCCACCAACACCTGCAAAACAGCTACAAAAGCCAAAAATTCAGAAAACCAAAGACCAGAAAAGTCCTCAGAGCGGGGGAACTTTTAGCCAACACACTACTTTGCAATAAGCATAGTGTTCTTTTATAAGCTGCTATAAAAACTGAAAAATCATACACCCTGATCTTTTTCATGAAACTACTTTGTGGCCCAAGTCTCAAACTGATAACAGCATCTGTGAAGCTGGCTTATGGCCTTTTCCTTTCACTTCGGAAGAATCAACCATGCATTCTAGGACATTTTCTTAAATATATTTACTAGGAATTTCCCCTTATTTGGAGGGTGCCTTGGTTTTCCTTTCTTTTATTCCGTAGTAAAAAATTGGCACAGAGAACAATTAGCTTCCGTTGTAATAGTCTAATTTGCTAGCAGGAGTAAATCTTTTTTCTCTCTAATTAGCATGAACAATTTTTCAAAATCTTTACTTTCTTTATTCTTTTTTCTAGTTGTTGTTGTTGTTGTTGTGACTCGGTGGTTGTCTTGTTTTCCTTTCAGATTCCAACGAATGAGATTGTAAATTTGTGGATACAATGTGAGCCTAGAGGCATGGTTTTATAGGTGGCTCTATAGAACATTAGAAATGGAGCAAGTATTGTTATTATTATTTTAATCTTTGATCGACATGGTTGCAAGAGCTTTTCAAGTTAATTTACCATTTCACAATTGTACCATTAAACTAAACAATGTCCTCTGAACATTGTTAGTAAATCTAGAAATAATTTACTATGTTTAAATATTAATAGATATACTTTATTTCGCATAATTTTTAGGGTCATTATTTATAAAGAGATAAGCTGAGGTTTGGCATCCATCTGCAGGAGGAGGTATGCTGCCATGCAAAGCTCACAAATGTCAACACTTCCACAAGCATCAAATAACATAGCCGTGTATAATGCCAACAAAGTGAAGCAAGAATTTACAACTAATTTCTGTGATAATCCAATGGCTGAAATGTCCAACCAAATGCATTCCTTCATGTCTCCTTCTAATTCATCCACATCTTTTAATGTTCCTCCAAGGGTAACTAGTGACAGTGTTTCTTCAGTTGTGAGCATGCTTAAGGGTACCCTAGAACGAAAAAAGCTTAACTGCAAAGTTGAAAAAGAAATGATGGAAGGAAGTTCTTTTCACCTTTTTAGTTCACATGAAGCTGTGCCTAACATTACATCAAATCAAGATCCAGGTAATCAGGTAACTGGACCATCCACTTCCTTCCATATGGTACCCCCAATTCAAGTTACAGGTCTAGGCAACTTTGCAAGGGTTGAGAAGTCTCTAGAGCTAAGCATGGAAGGCTTCCTAACTCAGGCGAACCAAACACATATGGAGGCAGCTTCTCGGGATCCTTCTCTAAGCGAATCATCTACTGCTGCACCTGATCTTTCTACTGGCTTTGATGTGTGTGATGGCCCCGCTCACTCTGGACATGCTATCTCTAATTGTGTGAGTTCCGGTAGACATGCTGGTGATGGCACTTCAGATTATGAATTTAAGGCCAATGGTAGGTCTTTTTTTTATATTTTTGTTTTTTTATATTTATTCTTTTGCCTTCATTGATTTAATCATGATCACACAATTTATAGTGTGTTGTATGTGATGTTTTATATTGGATTTATATATATAGTTTGATGAGCAAAAGAAGTATATTTCTGCAGGTATCTCTTTTTATGAATTCTGTTCATGTCTCAAGAAATTTTCTTTTTTTTTTATTGTAGTCTTCTTACTCAAAACTCATTTTGATAATTTAAATTCAGGATCATTAAGTCTTACATATTTGTTTTGTTCATTTTTTATGGAACCATATTTCTAGTTGCTTACCATTTTTGCGAAACACGTTCAGCCGTGTGTGCATTTCCAAATCTTAAAATATTAAATGACAAGGTCCTGAAAATCTAGAAACTTTACCCGATCTAATTTTAGCATGTTTAGGTTTGTCGAAATAAATTTTGTATTGAGAAGACTTGAGGGATTTCATGCCCTTTTTTTTAGGTATGAGGTAGGTAGAAAGGTTCCTTTCATAACTTGATCGGGATTTAATATGCTTATTTGTGATTTTGGAGATGACTGGATTTTATCTCCTCTAATTTTTCAATATATTAGACCGGGGTAGCTTTATAGCTAGTGGATTGAAGTTAACCCAGATTACAATTAAGGAATTTCCTAAAATGCATAAAGAAAACATATGAAACAAATAATGGGAAAGAGATTTGAACCTGCTTTCAAAATCTCATCTTATTTGCAACTTAAAGACCTTATTTCGGAAGATTCTTTCATGCATGGAAATGGGAGAGTGGCTAATATCCACACTTATAGTTATTGATTATATTTATTAACCTACTATATATATAATCTTAGGTAAGTTTTTCAAAATTAAAAAAAAAATTAAAAAGTTTGGTATTCGTCAGAACAAGGCCTGCTGATTTATATTTATAGTACTATTTTGATAAAATTTGCAATTTTACATGATTTTTTTTATAAAGAAGAGAGCTGCGTGCACTATTTTGTTTTCTTCCAGTTTGTTGTATTTTCTGCTCTGGAATATGCATTATTGCACTTGGTAACGTACACTCCCCTCTCCAATGCAGAATACCGGGAGAGGATGTTTGAAAATAGTTTTAAGGATTCTACAAAGGTATGCTATTACTTGAAGCTAAGACCTGGGGTCTTACGAGCGAATTTCACTGTAAAGATGACTTTAATACCTTTTTTTTTAAAAAAAATGTCTTCCATTCTGCGTTTTGCAGAAATCAAATCTAGTAAGGATGGGGTCCATATCATCAGCGGCTTCAGGTAATTCAAAGTGGACCACGTATTCCTGTTCTCTAACAACTGTACTGTAACATTGTTTGAAACTATCTTTGAGGTCTTTTTATTTCTATTTTAGTTGCATGATCGAAGTAACATGTTTTTATCTGCAAATTTGCCCCTGGGTGAAAGTGAACAAAACGATTTTTATATAAAAGGATGTCACACAAACCCTTTACCCTTGTCTTCATTTTATGCTGTCAAGGTGTTTTCTAAGGAATATTTCACAACAGCTGCCTTTTAGATATCAATAATGATACTAATAACTACTACCTAAAATTCATTATGAATTTAGCTTTCAAATATTATTTTCCAGGTACTGAAACCTAGTTCATCCTTCATGTTGAGCCAAAAAAAAAGTGAGGATCCCCCATCTAGGAAGTCTTCGTGTTGCACTCTTTTTTTAACATTGTCGTGGCTAGGTCCCAAGTCCTAGACGAGAAAAGTGGAGGGTTGAGTTAGGTAGTTAACAATCATCATAAAACTTGTCGAATAATCATGACATGAATCATTTAATACATTATGTTAATGTTAAGGCATTCCCTGGAAGCGACGAGTTGTATAGCTTGAATACAACAATAAGTGAGCAAGGACCACTATACTGGTGCCCGGGTGAGTGTTAAATAGGTAATGGTTCTCACATCATGGATGGATGTAGGCAAAGAAGCTAGTACATGAAACTAAAATTAGAATAGGAACTTGGAATATAGGTTCTCTTACAAGCAAATTAATGGAATTAAAGGATATTATAATCCATAGGAAGATAAATATTCTTTGCATTCAGGAAACTAAATGGGCTGAAGAGAAGGCTTAGGAGGTTGATAGTTTATGATTTAAATTATGATATTCTGGTAGGAGTCGTACTAGAAATAGTATAGGTCTAATTATAGATGAGAATTTGAAGGATAATGGTATAAAATTAATAGAATTAGAGATAGAATTATAGCTTTAAAGATTGTTGTTGATCCTAAGATTATTAATATAATAAGCGTTTATGCTCCTCAAGTAGGTTTAAATATGTGTTCAAAATTAAAATTTTGGAATGACCTAAAAAAATTAATACAAATGATACATCTCGAAGAAAAGAATTTTTATTGGAGGAGATTTCAATAGTCAAGCTGGTAGAGAGGTAGATGATTTTAAAAGCATTCATTGTTGCTATGGCTTTGGAGCGACTAATGAATGTGTTAAGACCATATTAAATATTTTTTTAGCTTATGATTTTATAATTGCTAATACCTTATTTAAGAAAAGAGATGAGCATCTCATCACTTATAAGAATGGGTATAGTAAAACTCAAATTGATTATTTTTTATAAGAAAAATATATCGTTTGGATTGTAAATATTGTAAACTTATTCCGAGTGAAAGTTTATATACCTAACATCGCTTATTAGTTTTTGATTTTAAGATGAAGGCCAAAATATTAAAATTAAAGTAAATCGTTGTTCTAGGATTATATGAGGGCATTTAAAGAATAGTAATAAAAATATTTTTGAGAGTAAGATTCTACTTCTTAAGATTTTGTTTGTGCATGGGAAGCTAATGTTATGTGGGAAAAAGTAGCTAGTGATATTAAGAATATTGTAAACGATGTGTTTGAAGTATCAAAAGGAAAATCTACTACTAGTAATAATAGTTAGTAGTGGAATCAAAATGAGTAAGAAAAAATAAAAATAAGAAGATTTGTTATAAAAATTGATTTAGCTGTAAAAACTCTGATAATTGGGAAAGATATAAAGAGGCCCATAAGAAGTCTAAGAAAGCAATTTGCAATACAAAGATTTTAATTTTTAATGATTTATAGAATATATTAGATTTTATTGATGGTGAAAGATATATGTATAAGTTAGCAAAACAAAGAGAAATGAGTACTAAGGATTTAGTTCAAGTGAAGTGTATTAAGGATGAAGATCAAAAAGTGCTTTTGTTAGAAAAGGATATTCAACAAAGGTGGATGAGATATTTTGCTAAACTTTTTAATGGAGAATGCAATTGACTTTAGTGATCTTAGCACCCTACATGAAAATAAAGATTTTTTTTTATCGGTGCATTAGTAAAACCGAAGTTAAATAGGCTTTAAAGAAAATGAAGTGTGGTAAAGCTATTGGACCTAATGATATTCCAATTGAGGTGTGAAAATGCTTAGGAGATGAAGGAATTTCTTGGCTTATTAAACTTTTTAATATTATTTTGAATGCTAAAAAGATGCCAGATGAGTAGAGAATGAGTGTATTGTTTCCTTTTTTGAAAAATAAAGGTGAGTACAATATTGTGCAAATTATAAAGGAGTTAAGTTAATGTGTCATACTTTAAAACTATGTGAGAGAGTTATGGAGCATAGGTTGTGGTGTGACACTAATGTTTCTCCAAATCACTTTGGATTCATGTCAGGTAGGTCTATTATGGAACCTATACATTTATTTGAGATGTTTGATGAAAAATTATAGAGAGAATAAGGAGGATCTACATATGATTTTTATTGATTTAGAGAGAGCGTATGATAAAGTTTTAAGAAAAGTGCTATGGAGAGTTCTACATAAGGAGTTAATAGTGCTATATTCAAGTCATTAAGGATATGTATCTAGGAGCTGTTATTTGTGTTTGCAAACACAAGGTGGTTTGACCAAGTGTTTTCCTATTTCAGTTGAATTACATCAAGGATCATTCTTAAGCCCATATCTTTTGACTTTAGTCATGAATGTTCTCACTAGACATTTGCAAGAGGTTGTACCCTAGTGCATGCTTTTTGCTGATGATATTCCTCTTGTTGATAAGACTAGAGAGGGAGTTGAAGGTAAACTTGAATTATGGAGGTCAACCTTAGAGTCTAAAGGCTTTCGTTTGAGTAGATATAAAATTGAATATAAGGATTGTAATTTTAGTAATAACAGATCTAGTGATGGGGGTTGTGACTTTGAGCGATCAACTCATTAATATAAGCACATGTTTTAGATATCTTGAGTCTATTGTTTAGAGTGATGGTGAAATAGATAGGGATATTATTAATAGAATTCAAGTTGGATGGTTGAAGTGGAGGAATGCATCGGGTTTGTTATGTGATAGACAAGTCCCTCTAAAACTTAAGGAAAAATTATATAAGATGGTAGTGAAACCTGCAATGCTTTATGGTGCAGAATGTTGTCCATTAAAAATAAGCATAATATTAAGTTAAGTGTTGCAGAGATGAGGATGCTCAAGTGGATAAGTGGCTTTACTCTTAAAGGAAGAATACGAAATGAACATATATGTGAAAAGGTTGGATTAGCTCCAGTGAAAGATAAGATTAGAGAGAGTCGTCTTAGATGGTTTGGTCACATAAAACGGTGGCCTTCTGATGACCCTGTTAGGGAAGTAGATGTATTAGATTTGACTTATATTAAGAAAGGTAAAGATAGACCTAAAAAGACTTGGTTATAAAATATTAGAAACGACATTTCTTTATTGATTTAGATGAAAATTTGACCCTTAACAAGACACAATTGAGAAAAAGGATTCATATAGCCGACCCCACATAGTGGGATAAATGCTTCTTTTTGTTGTTGTTGTTGCTGCTGCTATTGTAATGGCTCCAAACACATCCCTTTTTGATATATCTTTGATTAATACAACTCAAATTTTTACTCACGGATATATGAGCTGAAAATTTTAATGCATAAACAGTAACTTACAGATTCTTGCATCTTGAAATCTCTCTAGAATACTTGATTTTTTTTTAATGAAATTTAATCAATTTGTAGTGAATTTGTAATACATTTCATCTGTCCTGTCCTGTGGCATGTTCTAATAATTTTCACTCATTAAATTTGAATTAGCTTATTAATCTGTTCATGCCTTGCCTGTTATGTTTGTAACACAACTGCCTCATTTTCTTGCAATGAATGCAGTGGACACGGCAGATCCAACAAAGAAAAGGAGGGTTGAACGTTCCCGCAAGTACGTGTGCTAAAGCTTTGATAAAATATTGAATGAAATTTTTTCATATAGCTACGATGATTAGATTAAATTTTGAATATTAAATATGCTTATTTCTTCTGATTGTTTAGGATGGCTGAGGCCAAGGAAAGGAATTCTACACCAACATTGCCATCAGATATGCAGGCAGTTCTGAAGAGATGTGAGAATCTAGAAAAGGAAGTTCGATCTCTCAAACTGAATCTTTCTTTCATGAACAGGTAATTGAAGAAAAAGATTAATTATCATGCATCTTTCTTATGTTTGAATTGTTCATTCTTTCTATAGAATAGTGTTTGTTAGCCAAACCATTGAACAACTGAATTCTGCCTCTTCATCCATAAATTTCGTAATTTCTTGCAGGGGCAGAATTGAGCAGTGGTGAGGGGGGCAATTTCCCCCCTAAAAAAAATTAAAACTCTTAGTATAGTAAGGATTATTTATAATATGCCCCTCCTTAATTTTATTTTTTGCCCCAATCGATCATTTTTTCACGCAATTTGCCCCTCCAAAAATCGAAAAGCCTCTTGACCTCCCGTTATTTTCATCCAATTATATTGAACTTTTCTAACACTAACAAACAAGTCTGTGAAAAGCTATAATGTGCAAAATAAATTATTTTCCCACTATATTTTTATTTTTTTATAAATTTATCACTGGCTCCTGTGAGAACTAAGGCTGGTTCCGCCCCTGATTTCTTGATCAATTGCAGGAAGGATTCTGAACAGACCAAACAGATTGAAGAGCTTCACAAACAAAATGATGAATTGGCCAATGAGAAGGGTCGCCTATTGGAAGAGATCGAGCGCATAATGTCGGAGTCTGGTCAGATTTGAGGTCTGGAACATCATTCTGATCTCACTGATGTCCACATAACTGCCTGCTTTCATAGCAATTGTAAAATCCAAAGCAAAGTGGAAGAGAAATTTTCTTTGCTTGGTGATCTCATAGCAAGGATTGTATCAATATGATAGAGTAAAATTAAAGAAGAATTTATACTCCCTGACTGTGTCATAAATACAAAACTATTGTTTTGAATTCTGATGGAAAATCTTGAGACTATGGGCATGAATGCTTCGACTACATATCTTATTGTGCGATGATTGTGTCCATTCTAATGTGTTATTTCAAATAAATCAATTGATGTTGAGACATTCAAATCTGTTTATCTTTAGTGAGATGGCAGCGGGAACCCAAATCTATGAGAATTTCTTTTGAATGCTTCAATTAAGAATCATTTATACTTCTTTTTACTCAACATTCTTTTTTTCTTTTTAATTAGTATAGAATAGGAGATTAAGGTTTCATTTGGGACAACTTTCGTATTGTTTTATAAAATAGTTTTTTTGACATAAATTTTTTTTGGAAAAAAACGTATTAAAAATTTGTATTATAAAGCTGTATTATTTCATTTGGGATAGTTTTTTTACTATTTAAAACAACTTTTTAGTTCAAATTTTTTAACTTTCTTACTAAAAAATTGCTCTTAGAATCCTTAAAAAAGTTGTCCCAAAGGAAGCCTTAAATGAAACCTAAAGGTGTCATTGGAATAGTTTTTTTTAGTTTAATTTATTTTATACATAGCTCATACTTTAGTTGTATTTTTGTATTTTTCATAAATTTTTTTATTGTTGATATCTTTTTGCAATCAGATCTAATAACATAGCATAGTATGAGAAAAAAATTTTATAATACTCAAACTATGCTTTTAAAAATTCTGTTTTTCTCATAATAGATTCACAATTATATATCATCTAAAATTAAAGTACTAATTGTAGTAAACTTTAACGGCAACATATATCTATTGCTTTGTTTTACCGCAACAAAAGACTATGAGATGGCTTGGTCGAAGGGAGTGGTTTTTCTTGGGTAGACATTTTCTCCTTCAGAAGTTGTCGCCCAAATTCCGTCCAAAGCGTGAAAACTTCACCTCCATTTCTATATGGGTAAAAATACGTACATGATCTCCCTTTGGTGTGTTGGAACTCTGAAGGAATCTCTCGTATAGCCAGCAAAATTGGCATCCCGCTTACTGTGGACGCCCTCACAGCTCAGCGAACTCGTCTCATCTTTGCTCGCGTCTGTATCCAAATAAACGTAGATGGTACTTACCAAGAATAAATCCTGGTATCAATTGAAGATGATGTGTTTAGTCTGAAAATCCAATATGAGTGGAAACCAACACCCTGCGAACACTGCAAATCCCCTGGTTCATTCCTCATCCACTTGTCCCAACAAGCCGGAGACTACTCCTTCGTCCATTCCCATTGCTCCCCCGACTACTACTACTGCTCGTGGTAGAAGTAAGAGTAGAAGGCCTCAAGGTAGGAACGCTTCGTCCTCTTCTACCATCCCTCCTTCTATTACCCCCTCCTCTATTATTCTTTATGGTCACCAGTCCATAATTCAGCCTCCTTCCTCCTCTACCCTGAACCCTCCTCAGGTCCAGGACATCCCTGCTTCTTCAAATCCACAGCTTCCCCCGTCTTCCAACAGCCACAACTATAAAAAATTGTCAGTTTCCACTGCTAACCCTCCCTCTTCCACAATTCCCCTAGTGGATCCCCCAACCTCCAATATCCCGAATTTAAATTCTCCACAAGGTGATGCCACATCCTCTACCTCCACCTCCTTACCTTCCTTCAAATCCTCATCACCCAAAGTTCAATCTCCCAATAAATTTGATGCTTTGCAATTATTAGAAGAGGACCAAAATAACTCGGCAAACTGCTCTATCCCAGCTATAGACCAAATTATTTTGGTTAAAGAAAAAGATACTGGCCATACTCAATCGGGTAAGCCTAACACTTCCAAAAATGCTAAGGGGAAGCAAGTCAGGAAGTCCCCTGCCCCTCATCGATAATCATGTCTGTACCTTCTATTGCCTGCTGGAATATTAGAGGCTTCAATAGTCCAGACAAGGTTTTCTATTGTAAACGAATGACTTCCCTTTTCAAACTGGACATGTTGTGCATACTAGAGAATAGGATACATGCTTCCTCTCTTCTCAATCCTTTCTTTTCTGAAACCCACGTGATTTTTTCTTCTGAAGATTCTTGTCATAATTTCAATCTGTCCTCCTCTGGTCGGATTTGGATCAAGTGGAACTCTTCAAAATTATTTTTTTCTCCTTCTATCATATCTCCTCAGCTTATTTCAGGTCAAGTGGATAGTGGGGTATATCCCTCTATTACTTTATAAGTCATCTATGCTGATAATGATAGAGATGGTATATCCTCTCTCTGGGATTTGCTCAGAAATTATGCTTCTTCTCAATCTTCTCTCTGTATCATTATGGGCGACTTCAACTGCTGTAGATTTGCTTCTGAAAAAATCGGTGGTAACCCCCTGTCTCACAGCTCCCTGGGAGAATTGAATTCTGTGATATTTGATGCCAATCTGGTTGAACTAAACTCTATGGGTAATTTTTACACCTGGTTCAACCAAAGACAAGATAATCCTATACATATTAAACTTGATAGAGTTCTTATGAATGATCAGTGGACTTCCACTTTTCCCAACTCATACTACTCGGTGCAAGCTCCTTCCTATTCAGATCATTGCCCCTTAATTCTCCACTCGTTAGATGCTACCACTTCTCACCACAGGTTTCTTTTCAAGAACTTATGGACTTCTCTTGACGGGTATTGGTACATTCTGCTTGATGTTTTTTTTACTATCCCTAATGATAATCCTATGGCTGACCTTTGTTCTAAGCTCTGGCTTTTTAAAAGACTCATTAAACTTGAACTTTGGGCTAACTCCAATGCTATTCAAGTTCAATTAGACACACTCCACCGCAAGCAGCTAGACTGCTTAGAGCAGATTAATTTGGACCCTCAATGCAGTTCTTAATAGCCAATTAAAGAGCATCAACATACATATTTCTAAGTTCTCTTCTATTCATGCTTCTTGGATTATACAGAGAGCTAAGGCTTCGTGGCTATCTCAGGGGCAAGATGATCTGAAGTTTCTGTATGCTAAAATTCGTCGTAGAAGAGCTTGTAGCAATGTAGCGATTAACTTGGGGGCTTCCTCCCATCTCTTAAGATTTGATGCTATTACTGAGATCATTAATCACTTTCAAGTTCTTTATAATCCTACACCTATTGAGGATATAAATATGGAGCTTTTTCCTACTAGTAACACTCTAAATTCCTTTCTTGTTGATTCTCTCATTATTTCTGTCTCTGATGAAGAAATTAGAAAATCTGCATTTGATGGTGTTGCCTCGTCGTCACCTGGCCCTGACGGTTTTAACTATCATTTCTTCAAGCGTAGCTGGCACATAATTGTTCCTTTGGTTTGCAAGGAAGTTAAATTCTTTTTTTATTAAGGGTCATATTCCTACCGGCATCAAGGCTACGGCTTTAGCTCTTATCCCTAAGACTAAACATGCCTCCTCTTTTGCTGACTTCAAGCCTATAGCCCTTTGCAATGTGATTTACAAAATAATATCCAAATTTCTTACTGTCAGATTAAGGCCCATCATGCCTCTTATTGTTAAAGACACTCAAGTTGGATTTATTAAATCCAGAATTTCCATTGACAACATTATTCTTGCTCAACAGCTTCTCTTCTTTGCTAATAAAGAGAAGAAAAATCTGTTTTGTGCAAAATTTGATATTCGTAAGGCATTTGATATTATCTCTAGGGATTTTATTTTGGCTAGGCTTGAACAGAAAGGTTTTCCCTCCCTATTTATATCCTGGATTAAGGCGTGCATTACTAATGTCAATTTCTCTATTGTGATTAATGGGGCTCTTAAGGGGTTCTTCCCCTCTACGGCTGGATTAAGGTAGGGTTGTCCTTTAAGCCCTTATCTTTTTTGTATTGTGATGGATGCTTTCTCCTCTCTTATCGATAATAACCTTTTTGTGGGAGCACATTTTGGCAATTTTCAGCTAAGCCATCTGCTTTATGCTGATGACTTACTTATTTTTGGGGAATCTTTTGTCTCTAAATGTAGACAACTAATGGAAATCATTACTTGTTTCACCACGGCATCTGGTCTTCACATGAACCTTGATAAGAGCTCACTCATGCTTCCGAAGCATTTTAATAATGCAGATTCGATTTATAGAGCTTTTTGCTTGTCTTCTAAAGAGAACATTACTTACCTTGGGGTCCCCATATCCTTCAGGAGGCTTAAGATTGTGGATTTTTCTCCTCTTATGGAAGATGTTACCAAGAAACTTTCAGGTTGGAATGCTAATCTCTTGTCTTTTGCGGGAAGACTGCAATATCTGAAATTCACAATGTTAAATTCCATAACATATTGGATCAGAGGCTCCATTTTGCCAAAGTTTGTTATTAAATATGTTAGAAGGGATGCTTCTAAATTTCTGTTCTTTGGTGATTTATATGCTTCAAAAAAGCTTCATCTGGTTGCTTGGGATACTATTTAAATTAGGAAGCAAATATTGAGTGTGTGTGTGTGTGTGTTGGGGGGGGGGGGGGGGGGGGGGGCTTGGACTTCCTAGCATTCTTGCTCTTCAGTATGGTTTTAACTGCTCCTCAATCCTTAGGATTTATACTTATAAATCTCTCCTTGCTGATTGGTTTTTAACTCAATACATCTCCCTGTGGAAACCGGCTGACTCTAAGGCTTCTAGTTTTTGGAAATCTATATGCTTAACTGCTCAATCTTCTAAGGATAAATGGACTTATAAAGTCACCCCTCCTCTCCTTTTTCTTTTGTTTGGGATTATTGGTGCAACACCAGTCGGATTATGGACTTATGCCCACTTAGTGCTAGCTTTGGTAACCTTATTGTGAGCAATTTTATTGTTGATGGTTCCTGGAAGCTCCCTTTAAGCTTGCCCACTGTTATTGTGAATGCAATAAACTGTGTTAACATCTTTGACAATCAGTTTGACTGCTTGGTTTGGGACACTGGTAGACATGCTAAGTTCAAAGATTATTTATATGATTACTATAAATTGTTACCTTCTTGTTCTTGGGATAGCTTTGTATGCCACAAAAAGCATGTTTTGAGATATTCGGTCTTTACCTGGCTTACTCTTGTGGGAGGTCTTAAAAGGAGTATGGAGCTTAACAGGAGAAATATTGGAGTGGAGCCAAGTTGTTCCCTTTGTCACTGTTTTCCTGAGAGCTCTACTCATTTGTTTTTTTACTGCTCTTACTCGCATTCCATTAT